GCAAGACGTATCTCCTAACTTACGCTATCTTTTTATCATTTCATAAAGCTTTGTGTCTATTTCTTATCTTCTTTCTATGTCGTCATCATGGCTGGGCTTTGTGAACGAAGATTTGGGAAGGGCTCTACCCACGTTTGTTACAAGTGCACTGGTGGCTAAAAAGGCCAATATGAGATAGACACATCAGGTTGCAAAAGGCACAGCAGAAAGACTCCTTAGGTGGTATATTCTGCTCTTTCCATGTACCTTGCCATGAAAATCTGATTCATCTAATCTTAAAAATACCTGGCTGACTGCTTTTCTCCACACTTCTTGACTTCACTTTGTTTCTCCACCAGCCAAATCATATACTGCTAAATGTCTGTCTACAGACAGAGGTTGTCACCTGGGTGGAGGCTTGGATGCAAGACCAAAGGTGGTAGTAAAGAAAATAATTAATTCCTCTCTGCAGACATTGAAAACCCACCAGGATGTGTTCCTGTGTCATCTGCTCTAGGTGACTCTGCTTTGGCAGGGAGATTGGACTGGATGATCTTCAGAGGTCCTTTCCAACCCTAATGATTCTGTGATTCTGTGATAAACGAAGGCTGAAAATTTTGTAAGTGTGCATTTTAGTGTAAAAATTTAAATGCCACCTAAGTTTTATGCTGCTGTCTAGTGTTAATGACAATGGAGGGAACCTTTTAAACATAATGAGGGCTGGCAGTGTTGAAGATAAGTGAGGAAGCTAGCAGGATGGCTCTTCCATGGAAATCCTTCTGTCAGAAAGTCCACATAAAGAGACACTTTTTAACACCATTAACTAAATCTGAGCACAGACCCTCCTTTTCTAGTATATGACTAACAAATAGCCCTCCCTACCACCTTGACATGCTTCCATGCTTGGGCTTTCACCAGTACATAATTTGTTCTTTATTTTTAAATAAAGAATTTGCTTCCTTCAAATTTTCCCCGTGGATTTTGCATACTTGCCTATCTTATTTTTCACAAATGATCCAGAGGGTTTTGTTGACAGACCAAACCTCTTCTTATATGATGCCAGAAGAGAATTCTTGGAAAAGAAATTGTTAGGTAATGGCTGTAGTCCCATGGTAAGCAGGCATTGCATCAGATTCTCCCCATTTGAAACATAATGGATTCTATCATAAAAACCTTCCGTGGCAGTACTGAAAGGCTGCTCTAGAACCTCATTGCTCTCCTGAGTAAGAATATCTTTCTTAAAAAAGAGGTATCAAGGCCAGTTTGTACAGATGGTGAGAAATACCACTTGAAACTTCCAGAGACTGAAAAAAACCACCAAAGAAACACCCATTGCTTCATGCTATTAAACATTTTGGACAGATAGTGGAAAATGAGAGATCTGTCTACCTCTCCCTAAAATAAACTTCTTGCCCTTCAACTGACTTTGTGAGCTGAGAGACTTCACGGCATGAAGGAAGTTATAATATTAGGAATTACTGGGGCTGCTGGGATTCCATCCTGTACCCCAACACAGCCTCTCATGCCCCACTGCTTCAGGATCAATACTGCAGTACTACTACACTTACAATCATGGGAGCACTGTGCTTCAGCTGTATCTCCCATCTCTGAATAGTCATTTGTTCTTGTGCCACCCCTAGTGCTTAGGTCCACAGAGATCTTCCTCCCTAGTGTCTTCAGCTGTAAGATTTATAGGGAGCAATCAAGCATTTGAAGGATACAAGAACATGGGGATGGTCTGATTCAGTTTCTCAACAGTCCGCTGTTACACACAGCTCCTCAAAGTGTGTCAAATTTTTTCGTGGATGGTATTTTTACTAAATAGAGCAACAGTGAGCCATGGGAATGACTAAGTTTTCAGCTCTTTTGCTGTAGAGTAGCTATCAACGGAAACTCATACATTACTGCTGAAGAGTTGTTGAGTTGTGCTAGTTTAAGTCATTCTGTCTATCATAGAATCAAGTTGTTCTGTCTTTCATAGAATCATAGGATGGTTTGGGTTGGAAGGGACCTCAAAGACCTAGTTCCAACCTGCCCTGCCAAGGGCAGAGACACCTTCCACTAAACCAGGTTGCTCAAAGCCCCATCCAACCCAGCCTTGAACACTGCCAGGAATGGGGCATCCATAGCTTCTCTGGGCAACCAGAGAAGTGTCTCACCATACTCACTGTAAAGAATTTCTTCCTAATATCTCATCTAAACCTACCCTCTTTCAGTTTAGAGCCATTCCCCTTGTCCAGTCACTACATCCCCTTAATAAAAAGTCCCTCTCTGACTTTCTCATAGGCCCCTTTTAGGAACTGGAAGGCTGCTGTACAGTCTCCTTAGAGCCTTCTCCTCTACAGGCTGAACAGCCCCACAACTCTCTCAGCCTGTCTTCATAGGAGAGGTGCTCCGGCCCTCTAATCATCTTTGCTGTGTCCTCTGGACTCGCTCCAACGGGTCCATGTCCTCCTTATGCTGGCAGCCCCAGAGCTGGATGCAGCACTCCAGGTGGGGTCTCATGAGAGCGGAATAGAGGGAGAGAATTACCTCCCTCGACCTGCTTTGACCAGAATCACCTCCCACACTGCTTTTGATGCTGCCCAGAATGCAGGGCTGTTTTTCTTTCTCAGGGCAACACTATATTTTTGAGTCCTGATGCGGACAATATCAAGAGACTCTTAAATCACCATTTTGGAAATAGTGGCAACTGATCTTTTTTTTTTTTTTCCAAAAGGTCTGTGCACGACAGCTTGACAGCTAATCCCAAGGTGAGGAGGGTCTGGGGTAAAGAAAAAAAATGCGCTGGCAATCTTTTTGGGTTCTTCATGCAGGAGACACAGGCAGTAGCAGCGAGGTTTGCCTCCTCACGAAAAAAGACCCAACTTCTTTCGGTGAAGAATCTTTTGTCGTTTAGGTTGGGTTAGTTTCCACTTTTGCTCTCGGGTCATTTTAACACCTGACGGAGGACCGTACCTTCGGCCGCCGGGGCGAGGCGCCCTCTGACACCGGTGCCGCAGCCGTCCTGTGTCCCTGGACGCCGCTCCGGGCCGGGAGCGGGCGGCGGTGGGCGTGCGGGAAATAACTCCCGCTGCGCTGCCTCCGCCGCAGCCCGGCGGGGCCGGCGGACAGCCCAGTGGGGAGGGGTTTCTCACGCTTTTATCCTCTGGGAGGAATAAACTGTTTTATTTCG